CAGAAAGGCTTCTCTGATTTCTCACATCCCCTTTTGATCACTTCTGTGTTCCTATGTCTTGTCAACAATTACATGCTTAATTTGTACCAAAGAAAAAACTCACTTTTTGGAGAGGAGGGCAGTCTAGTCTAAATTAGTGAAAAATCTATGCATTAAAAATTGTGTAAAATGCAGTGACCGTTACTTTTAAGTCCTGGAACTTGATTGACCTAGTGCTCAAAAAGAACAGAAATATAGTGTGATGACACTTGAAATAATGTATAGTAACATGCTGCTTTTGATATGTAAATAGTGCCTCTAAAATGTTGGAAATAGTCTGTTTTCTTAAGCAAATGAATGGTGTTAGCAAGACTCCAGGAAACATTTTTTATCTTAGAGATCACATTACCAGCATTTGAATCAGTGAGGCTTCATTGTATATTTATCTGCATGTTATATATTGCTTGGTATTTATTCTCATGTCCTTTCATGTATGTGTGTTCTGCCTTCCACATTAAACTGGGAAATCCTTGGGAGAGCAGAGATTTTGTCTTCTTTGTCTTCTGGACCCCAAGTATTCACAAATCAGGATTGGCATGCACTTATTAATATTTATTAACCAGTACTAGACAAGGGATACCAAACCACAATGGGAGAGAGTGATTCATTCCTATGCCAGCAGTCTAGAACTATCTCTACTGATTCTCAAGGAGGTAGGTGTGTGGTTGGTACTTGGGGGACAGAGCAAAGAGCAGACACAATCCTATCCCTGGCATTGAGCTCCCAGTGTTCTTGAGGAATGAAGACAAACACACAGGAAACTATTTGGAAGTGACATCAATTACCAAGTTTCATGATGACCGAGAGCTGAAGGTGGGGGTTAGGTTGGGAAAGATGTACTCAGATCCCTCTGGAGTTCGTCCCCTTTGCACTGTGACCTTTAGTCTGCCCTGTGCCTGTTTAATAGTTCTAGAACTTTGGGGAGGAGGGGAACCATTTGCCTGTAGGGCCCTTGACTACCAGGACCAATATTGCTTTCTTTTCTCCTTCCTCTAGGATGTCAAAAGTACCCTGGAAAAGTAAGTGATTCTTGTATCTCTTTGAGTGAGTTAGGTCTTGGCTTAAAAGAGTAGGGCTGCAATAGGGAGTTGGGGGAGTAAGAATGGGAAAGTCATGCAGTGTTTGGGTAGAAAAAGGGAGAAGGGTTTTTGCATCCATGAAGCCAATTACAGAGCAAATGATTGGGAGTACTAGTCCCCTTTACCCTTTGAGCATCAGGACTTCCTTGGTAGGGTAGATACCAAGATAATGTAATAGAACCAGATTCTGCCTGGGGCTGTGGGTGGAATCATGTCCAAACAAGATGGAAGGAGGAATGGGTTGGGGGGTAGGGGTGGTATCTCTTTGCATGAAATATAACAGTACTTCCAGAAAGTTCTAAAACTCATTCTTAAGGATTTGTCCAGGGGACCATCTCTCTTTCCATAGATAGGTAAAAGAAAGCAGTGAGTACTTGTCTTGAGAGAGGAGAAAGTACGAGGATGAATAATTTTAGTTTCTCCCTAAAGATGACAACATCTGAATAGTGACTAAGCTGGAGCTTCCCCTGACCCTGCCCTTTCTTCCCCTATCTCCCCATCCCTCCTAGATGTGAGAAGGTGAAGACCATGGAGGTGACTTCAGTATCCATAGAGCTGGAAAAGAACTTCAGCAATTTCCCCCGACAGTACTTTGCACTAAGGAAAATCCTTAAACAGCTAATTGGTGAGTTGTTCCCAAAAGGAAACTAGCAAAGGGAATCAGCAGAAGAAAAGGAAGTCTTTAGGTCCTACTTTACCTGGACTTCAGTTATCCCTGCTGTCACTTTTCATGCCCATATCCACATCCACTCCTTTACCTGGCTTTTAATCTCACTCTGGGGATTTCCATAATGGTCTAGTGGTTAAGAATCTGCCTACCAATGCAGGGGACATGGGTTCGATTCCTGGTCTGGGAAGATCCCACATGCCATGAAACAACTAAGCCTCATGAACCACAACAACTGAGCTCACACGCCTAGAACCTGTGCTCTGCAACAAGAGAAGCCAGCACGTGGCAAGGAAGTGTAGCCCCCGCTTGCTGGAACTAAAGAAAGCCATGAATAGCAACAAAGACCAGTGCAGCCAAAAATAAAATTAATTCATTATTAATCTCACTCTGAATCGCAGAACTCAAAGTGAGAAGCCTCAGGTGTCATCTGCTCTTAGTCCCACACTTTTCTAAATAGGGACCCAGAGAGGTTAAATAATTTGCCAAAAACTGGTCTCCTCTTAGTCCCACACTTTTCTAAATAGGGACCCAAAGAGGTTAAATAGTTTGCTGAAAACTGGTCTCCTCTTGAGAATGAAAGGGAGTCTCATTAATACTTACTCAGAAAACAGGCATAAGCCAGACTGTTAGAGAACAGACACGTGGTCACCCTATTGCCAGACTGTAATGCTCTCTTGCTCTGTATCCTTCTTAACATTTTTCATGGTTTCTGGCCCTTGGTCTGTGCCTTGTGCTTCTCCACCCAGTGAGATGCATGATGATATCAGAGGAATACAGGGAGGATCAGGCAGGAGCCTCAACCAGCAGCCCTTGCGGAGTCAAGAGATCATTACCTGTTTATTTTAGGGCCAGGATGAGAAGCTGTTGTTCCCTCCCCTCCCCTCCTCTCGGCTCCCTTAGGTGACACTGAGGATTGAGAAGGTTAACCAAACCACGGGGTTCTGGAGGCTTTCAGGGGGCAGGCTTTGTAAAGGCAGGCTGGAAGAGCGAGGCGGGGGCTTTTAGCTATTCCCATCCTCATCTAGCTCCCCACTGTGGCTTCTCCCGCCAGCGGATGTGACCCTGGACCCTGAAACGGCTCATCCTAACCTAGTCCTGTCGGAAGATCGTAAGAGCGTCAAGTTCGTGGAGACAAGACTCCGGGATCTCCCTGATACTCCACGGCGTTTCACCTTCTACCCTTGCGTCCTGGCTACTGAGGGTTTCACCTCAGGCCGACACTACTGGGAGGTGGAGGTGGGCGACAAGACCCACTGGGCGGTGGGCGTGTGCCGGGACTCCGTGAGCCGGAAGGGTGAACTGACCCCGCTGCCTGAGACTGGCTACTGGCGGGTGCGGCTGTTGAACGGGGACAAGTATGCAGCCACTACCACGCCTTTTACCCCTTTGCACATCAAGGTGAAACCCAAGCGGGTGGGTATATTCCTAGACTATGAGGCCGGCACACTGTCTTTTTACAACGTCACAGACCGCTCTCATATCTACACCTTCACTGATACTTTTACTGAGAAACTTTGGCCCCTCTTCTATCCAGGTATCCGGGCTGGTCGGAAGAATGCTGCACCGCTCACCATCAGGCCCCCAACAGATTGGGAGTGACAGGAAGGGGCGTGGGAATCATCAGGGTGAGGCAGGGTCAAGAGCTGCGGGCCTTCCTTCCTGTGACCTGCTGGAATGTCTTCGTGTCTGCCTGGTTCTGGCTCTGAACCGTGTGGGAGAACACCTTGGCTTCCCGAATGGTTTCTGTGGAGGAGTGGGTTGGACTGGACTAGGTCGAGAGCTCTGCACTGGCTCCCTCCTGACGGGGTGGAGAGCTGGTTCTCAGGGGGTGGTCTCCCCTGAAGTCCATCAGGTTTTCTATTGCACAAGGACCAGTTGGGAAGGAAGGAGAGACTTTTCCAGAAACAACAAGTCTGTGGAAGGGTCTGACTTGCTCAAACCAGAGGAGGAAACAGAAACCCCTGTACAGCCTTTCAGGGGTTTCTTTGACCCAGAATAGACTTGTTTTTTTAAGGAAGATCACAGGGGTCTTTGTACCTCTCAATTGAAATAAAGGTGAATGACAGTTGTTCTCATGGGTCTAGAAGTTGAGGAGTTATTTTCAGGGCAGAGATTGGGCATCAAGAAGTTGAGAACAAAGATCAGGAAAGAGGGCTAAAGGAACCGATTCCTAAAGACTAATGAAAGAGAGAAGGGTTTCTTTGGTTCCATTATGAGTAGGATTGGCCAGAGGTAGGAATGTGAGGAGGAGGGAATAGGAAGAGAGAGAACCCAGGTCCCTGCCTCCATCTCCAGCAGGCCTGGCTTATCACCTGCCTTCTTGTAGTTATTTGTCTCCAAGAGCTGTTACCTTGCTCATCTGAAGGGGCAAGATGCAAGAGATCATGCAAGACACATCTACCCTCTCATTGCTTCTCCAAGGAAACTTGGAAAGGAGAGAGTCAGGTATTAGAGGAAAGAGAAAAGCATTCCTATCCAAAGCCCTGGCCTTAAAGAATGCCTACAAGTAGCTGCTCCCAAGTTGTCAGCCTTGTTACCTAACTAAGGTATCCAAGCCAGACAGGGAGAAAGAAACTGGTGTCTTCCTTACCCTGGGGACAGGGTAGAAGAGGATAGTATGTTTAGGGAAGAGCCAGACAGGCAACTTCCTTTGGCCTGTGTGCATCTGGCCTGGAACTAGGGTTCATAAGAGCCGATTTTTTGTTTGTTTGTTGCCATCCTTCACGTTTTGCCACTTCTCCTATCAGAGAATGTAAATCATTTTAATGTTAGGCCAAAATAAACAACCTATAGGGTACATATGTTGTCAGAAAAGGTAACGCAATGCATGCCAAACCAAACTAAAATGACTGGATTATCTGCTACTGACTAATCAGGGGTTCACAGAAGACTGGGACAAGAAACTGCAGTTTATTGAGGGCATTTCAGCTCCTCCTGCCACCTCAACAGGACTTTGTCCAGACTCTCCTCTTACCTTTGTGCCTTGACTGTGGTTCTTTGTGGCAAGATGCTTTGGTTGGTAAAACATAATATGGAACAAAGGATCCACTGAAGTGATCTTTGTGTCCTGTGGTAATTTAACAATAACCTCTGTTGATGTGTTAGAAACTTCAATGTTAAAAAAATGCATGTTCCTTGGAATTCCCTGGCAGTCCAGTGTAAGGACTCCACACTTTCACTGTTGGGGGCCTGGGTTTGATCCCTGGTGGGGGAACTTTAGATCCCACAAGCCTTGTAGTGTGGCAAAAAAAAAAAAAAAAGGCATATTCCTGGTGCTTGCCCTCAGTGATTGATTGAGGTCTGGCGTGGGCCTGGGCATATCTGCCTTTTAAGCATACTCCTCATATGAGTCTGGAGGGCCTTGTGAAAGTAATCTGAGAGGAATTTCAGCCATTTCTTTTCAAACTGGAGTCCTGATTGGGGCAAGGTGTAGGGGCGGTGATTGAGAAAGGAGAGAATTCTCATCCTCTCCTGATATTGCTGCCCTCTCCTGTCTCAGGGTTTATGCATATTCTGTCCCTCTACTTCTAACCTCAGGAAGGAGTGGTATTAATTATGAAGCAGAAGCAGGAGGTCAAACAGCAAAGGAGAGGCGGAGATTGAAGGGAGGGATGTGAAGTACTACAGGGGATGTTTCTTCCAAGGGAGGGGATGCTATTGAAAGATTTCTGTGCTCAGTTCCTAAGACTAGGGGTTAGTGAGGATCACCTACTGTGGCCAGCACTGCATCTGGTAAGTGGAAAAGATTGGGAGGAAGCTTTGCTTTCTAAGAGCCAGGAGCCCTCTTCCCTCCCTCCACTACCCTCATGATCCTTTCCAGCGTCACTCCCACTAGCATCAGTGCTTTTTTGTAAAACGAGAGACCTGCTACTTCTGTCTGTAGGTCTTACAGGCATGTGCCTTTGTCTTCAGGAACATAGGGCAGAAAGTCTAGCCAGGTATAAACTGCACCTAACCATCTCCCAACCTATCTGTCTAAAGAGAAGAGTCTTCTGCCCTGACGATGTTTAAGGTTTTAAGACTTCTGCTCAACTAACTTCTACAGTTTCTGCCTAATATTGGCTTGAGAAAGGAGGAGGAGGAGGCCGCCGGGCTCTGATTGCAGGGCCAGGGTGGATTTGCAAATAGTTGGTCTGTGAGGCCACAGGGTGGCGCCAGAGAAAGGAAGGCCAGAAAGAAAGGAGGGCACACGGCTCCCGGAACTACAATTCCCAGGAGGTCTTACGCGGACGCCGGGGGCGTGGCTATGCTGGGGGCGGGGCCTGTGGACGGTAGCGTGTGGAGAGCTCGCTCGGCGTGGATGGCGGGGCCGGTGAAGGACCGCGAGGCCTTCCAGAGGCTCAACTTCTTGTACCAGGTGAGTCCGCGGCTCACGCACGGCGGGGAGCCCAATGCGGAGGGCCCCCAGTGACGGCTCACTCCCCCAGGCCGCCCACTGCGTCCTCGCGCAGGACCCGGAGAACCAGGCGCTAGCGAGGTTTTACTGCCACACGGAGAGGACCATAGCGAAGCGGCTCGTATTACGGCGGTAAGAGGGGTTATGGAGCCCGGCAGCGGGCGGGACGGGGGAAGACTGGAGAGGGAGAGCGGACGCCCAGACCACCACCTGCCTCCGCCCCCAGGGACCCCTCGGTGAAGCGGACTCTCTGCCGTGGCTGCTCTTCCCTCCTCATCCCGGGTCTGACCTGCACCCAGCGCCAGAGACGTGAGTGCTCCCTCTTGCTAAGGTGGGATGTATGAGGAACACCTGTGAGCTGGGGAGGGGACAGGTAGTGGTCTCTTTCTCGAGGCAGACGCGTGCCAGGTGTGGGATTGGAGTTGCCGGCTTTCTCTGAGTTAACTCCACTTGGACAGACAGATCTGGGCAGTAGAAAAATGATGTTCCCCTGAGAGGCAGCCTCGCCCGGCCACGATAATAGATGTTATTTGACATCATGGAGGATGATTACCATCTTCATTCATTCATTCAAGAATTATTTTTCTGAGATGTGTCAAGGATTGCTCTAGAATCAACATTCTCTTTGAAATATGGTCTCATGGGATGGACTAAGACAGGAACGATTAGAATAGCCTAGAAAAATGCTTCAGTTAGGGGAGTAGAGTACTAAGTTATTTAAACCAGTGGTGGGAAGGTTCATTATAAGAGCAGGGGAGTAGGAGATGGAAACCCTTGCCACTTGTGAGGCCTCAGGAAAGAAAGCCTGCAGTGCTGTCAAGGAACTGAGAGTTCAGGAGGCGGGCTTTGAGGTGGGCAAGGGCAAGACCTGAGGTGGGAGAGGGAAACAGGGCAGATCTTGAAGAGGCTTGTTAAGGAGTTTGGACTTTGTCTTAAAAGGGTGCCAAGAAAATGATACACTTTGTTCAGGGACCTGACACCGTCAAATTTTCGGTCAAGGTGGGGAGGAAGGAGAATCCCTACTAGAAAACAATGGAGGCAACACTGGATTCAGGAGACCTTTTCTTCTCCTAAACCTGGGCACTCTCTTTCTCCCACATGCGTTCCAGGCTGCAAGGGTCAGCGCTGGACTGTACAGACCTGCCTGACATGCCAGCGCAGCCAACGGTTCCTCAACAACCCAAGGCATGTGCTCTGGGGAGACCGACCTGAGGCCCAGCTGGGGAACCAGGCAGGTGAGAGGTGGTTGAGAAAATGGGGGTTAACCCAGGGAGTAGAGACAATGGGTAATGGAGAGCTGCAGAGGACAAATGGGTGAGTTTTGGGTTGGTGTGAAAAGTGCCAGTCTTCAAAAACTAATTCTGCTCATCTACTTAGATCCCAAACCACCACAGCCCTTGCCAAACACAGCCCACCCCATTCCAGCCCAGCTTCCTGAGGAGAAAGTGCAGCCTCAGAGCTCCAGTCACCAGTGATGGACTCACCCTGTCTTCCAAATAAATTTTAATTCTACTTAACTTTGTGTAATTCTGTTCTGTGAGTGTTTCAGCTCTTTCCTCTGTTTCTGTCTGCATTTCTGTGTCACCAGTTAACCTCTTCTTTGTCCTTTTTGTCTTTTGTTGTCATCCGTAGTCCCACCATTCAGGGAGATCCCAGTTAACCACTTGGCCCTGGGAAGTAGCTCTCGTTTCCAGGATCCTGCCTCCCAAGTGCCCCTCCACCCTTGCCTCCTTGGTGCAGTACCATGGTTGGAACTCAGGCTCCAAGAATGTTTGCAAGGCCCTGAGCCTTAAGATAGTCCATTTTTAGGTAGCTCTGACTGTTGACTAAAGGGCTGGACAGACAAACTGCTGATGCCACTGATGCTGTTTTTATTTTGTTTAATATTTATTTATTTGGCTGTGTTGGGTCTTAGTAGCAGCACTTGAACTCTCTAGTTGTGGCATGCAAGGCTCAGTAGTGGCACGTAGGCATGGTTTCTTCGTAGCATGTGGGATCTTAGTTCCCCGACCAGGGATAGAACCTGCATCCTCTGCATTGCTAGTCAGATTGTTAACCACTGGCTACCAGGGAAGTCCCTGATGCTGTTTTTATTTTATTCTTTTTTTAAATTTTATTATTGGAGTATAATTACTTTACAGTGTTGTGTTCATTTCTGCTATACAACAAAATGAATCAGCCGTGTGTATACATATATCCCCTCCTTCTGGAACCTCCCTCCCACCCCCTTATCCCATCCCTGTAGGTTATCATAGAGTACCGAGGTGAGCTTCCTGTGCTATATAGCAGCTTCCTACTAGCTAGCTATTTTACGCATGGTAGTGTATATATTTCAATTATGCTGTTTTTAACAGAAGAAAAGAAGTTAGGGTAGGGTTGGCGGAGGGAGGGTTCAGATTCTGCAGGCCACTTTGTGTTGGGTCTTTTCCCAATCTCTGTTTCTTCTATAAAATTCTACCAAGAGACACTGTTCAACCTGAACTAATTAAAGTCAAAAGTATTAACAGAAGGACATTGGCAGATATTATACAATAAGTTCTGTAGGTAAACCTTCAAGGTTTTCTTGAGAATCAGTAAACAACAAAAATTGTTTTATTTGATATTCCTGGACAGTTTACTTGAGGACAGAATATCAGACTGACTTCTTTGCTGGGTGCCAGCTACTCAGCTTACTCCAAAACTAGACAAATAAAATTCACTATTCCAAGAATGCAGTTTCCTTTCTTTCCTTTCTCTTGTAAGTCTTGGTTACAGTTATTCATTGCTGCATAAAAATCACTGCATGATGTTGTAGCATAAAACAGTATGTTATTTCCCCTGATTCTGTAGACTAGACTGACTGAGGGCTTGGCTGGGTGGTTATTCCATTCTGTATGGCATCAGCTGAAATCACTCAGCTGCATTTAGCTGGTGGCTGGTACCTGGTCTGGAAGACTCAAGAAGCTTTATTTGCATATATGATACCTCATTGTTTCTCTGTGTGGCCTTGCTATGTAGCTGGCTTTGACATCCTCACAGCATGGCTGTCTCTGGTTGGTTGGACTTCTTACATGGCTCTGGCTTCCACAGAGAGTAATCCAAGAAGACAAGCTCCAAGGTATGAGTGCTTGTCAAGACTCTGTTCTCATCACGCTTGCTGATGTCCCCTAGATGAGAATAAATCACATGGCCAAGTCCAGGTTCAGTGTGAAAGGGGCTACACTGGGGTGTGAATACTGGGAGGTTCACTGATTCTCTAAGGACCACCAGTGTAGCAATCTACCACATCCTCATTTTGCCTTTGTGCCTAACTCATTCTCTGCACTGATTCCCTCACATGTGGAATACATTATTTGCTTGGAAAATACTAATCTCCGTGCAAGTAACTAAATGTTTCTGAGTTATTCTTTAACATTTGTTTCTGGAGATAGTGCCCAACTGGTCAACTGTAGCAGCCAACACAAATGTGTAGCCTGAAGATACACTCTGTCAGGCCTGGACCCTTCGTGGCCTCGGCTCACCTTCCTTGGCTCCCTCCTTGTCATTTCTGAGCTGGTTATTTCTCGCACACTCAGTCTGACTCTTGGCCAAGTGGTTTCAAGTGTGATATATGAGGACACATGACTGAACACATCCACAGTGAGATAGCAGTGGGGTTCCTCTCACTAGAGATCATAGCCTCTTCCTCCTCCCAAAACTCTGTCCTTTTTCATGTTTACTAATTATGACACAATAGTCAATATGTGCAAAAATGGATTTCCTGTAACAAAGAGGAAATCAAAGCCCTAGTATGCAGTAGTCAGCCTTCTTTAATGTTTCTAAGCAATTGAGTAGTCCAAAATCTGTGCTCTTTTAGGACTCGTTAGATAAAATTAGAGGAGAAGAAACTTATGTCATCACAATTGATTCAAGCAAACAAGGTCTGAAAATTCCTTGGCAATCTAGTTGTTAGGACTCAGCGCTTCCACTGCAGGGGGCACGGGTTTGATCCCTAGTCAGAAACTAAGATCCCATATGCTATGCAGCACAGGCAAAAAATAAATAAGTAAACAAGGTCTTCCAAAAGCCATAGAAACTGAGACTTAATTATTCCTGAACCTTAGATATGCTTAGCACTTTTTAAAACTGGTTTTAAAAAAAAGAGTATAGTTATTGTCAGGGGACAGAGAGGAGTTGAGAGACTGTTCTGAATTCAGAAGGGAATTCAGAAATTACTTAGATTCTCAACAAAGGGAATAGTAAATAATTTTAGCTTTATGTGACAAAGTTGTCTAACAATCAAATGAGATATGTGGTGATACCTTGAAAACTGAGTATTAAGGGGACTGCAGTAGAGTTTAATTAGTAATCAAAATTATACTATGGTTGTAATAACAAGCAGTAAAGTATTTTAGAAAAGACAGGTCCTGGACATCAGTGAATCTGAGTTATTGTCCCCACAGTACACATTTGTACATGAGGCAGCTTGACTGTGTTCTTTTCCCAAAGCTTCTTCCAACACTGAAGACAAACAAATGAAGTTATCCAGTTTTCCCACGAGGCATCAAAAAGGATTTCATGCATTTATTTAATAACTACTTTGTGAGGGCCTACTCTATGCCAGGCCATTTGGTTAGGAATTAGGATATACATCAATGAACAAGAGTCAGAAGTAAGACAAGAAAAAAAAAGCAACATATGACAATAAATTATGTATTCTAAAAGGATATGTGCAACAGAAAAGGCCAGGATAGCAAAGAAACTGTGGAATACAGGCTCCAGGTTCAATTAGAGCAGCCTAGGCAGGCAGCACTGAGAAGGTGTCCAGCAGACTCTGAGGGTGCCTCTTCCACACCCGCTCAGACGAGGTTGCCTCCGGCAGATCCTTCCCACCTAAGGCAGCAGCTTCTGTCTCTGCCTGAGACTATTATCTGAAAACAAGCCATGCAGGGTAGGCCCAAACTGCCAGGGAGTAATATTCCTGGGAGCAACTCCAAACAGTGAGGGATGAGTATCGGTGGGTAAATGTTCTACATAGTCTCTCAGGGCCTCCAGCAGAGTGGAGCCCTGGTGGCACTATTATTTAGATGTACCCTCTATACACTTTCCTTCCTCTCTCCTTGTTTTACTCCCCATTCCCTCACCATAGTTCCTGGGATCATCTTCCAGGTAAACTACCTGCACCCAGGTCTTCATCATTGGGTTTGCTTTGAAGGAATCCCAAATAAGAGTTCCATTTGAAAAAAGATTCGGGACTTCCCAAGTGGTCCAGTGGTTAAGACTCCATGCTTCCACTGCAGGGGGCCAGAGTTCCATCTCTGGCTGGGGAGTGAAGATCCCACAGGCCACCAGCTGCAGCCAAAAGAAGAAAAAAGACTTGAGGGAGGTAAAGGTTCTAGCTGTTGGTTCAAAACCTCCAGGGCTTCCTAGGCAAACTCTGAAAGCAGCCCCCGTTCACGGAGGGCAGGGAGAGGTGAAAGAAAGAGGTAGACTTCTCCAGGTTGGTAGGTGACAGGTTTAAAATAAGCAAGGGAACTTAAAACAAATGAAGCTTATTCTGGACGGCAGCAAGACAAGTAGGTCTCCCTACTCACCCACAAGAATCTTTATTATACAGAGGCCTTGACAGGCTTCAGTCATGCCTTTAGTCCAGATGATCTCAACCACACCTCGCTCTCTCAAAGCTGTGTCCTCAGAACAGCCCCCACTGTGGTAACGGTGGGCAGAACTCACACTTCAAGGACAGGGGAGGACTTCCCTGGTGGTCCAGTGGTTAAGAATCTGCCTGCCAGTGCAAGGGACACGGGTTGATCCCTGCTGATCATGCCACAGGGCAACTAGGCCTGTGCGCCACAACTACACAGCTTGCAGGATCTGTCGTTAACGCTGATGGGTGTGTCATTTAGCATGCTAGTATGTTACAGTGACTGTATACTGAGGCTTAAGCTCTACTGGAGGTTAACTTGTCTGCCATCTTGGACCTAGTTGGTTCTAACCAGCTTTTGTCATGTCCTATTGCTGTGTCATTTTTTAAAAGGTTGTGCCCTGCCCTCTTCCCTCCTGTTTCATTTCCACTTGTTTCTCTTAAGGCCTCTTGCCTTCCAAGATGGCCCACACTTGGGGGAGTGTGTTTTTCTCGAAATAAATCCACTTCTTTGCTACCACTTGGTCAATTGCTGAATTCTTTCTGCGATGAGACATCAAGAACCTGAGCTTCATTACATCCTCAGGCCAGGTGTGTGATCTTCGTCAAAAGATCATGGTTTCAGGTCCCAGGCTGAGTTGCACGATTTCAGCTCCTCACAATCAATCTGTGTTCTAGCCTCTGAAAACAATTCCTGGGACTTCCCTGGTCGCCCAGTGTCTAAGACACCACGCTCGCAATGCAGGGGGCCTGGGTTTCCCTGGTGAGGGTACTAAACGCCACATGCTGCAACTGAGAGTTGGCATGCCGCTGTAACTAAGACCTGACACAGCCGAGTAAATAAATAAAATATTTTTAAAAACACAATCACTCATGTAAGAAGCACTCAAGATCTCAAAATTCTGCCTTGAGTTT